GTACAGCCAAAGTGTGTGTAGACTTCACGCTTTTTTCAGTGCTACCGCTGTAAACGAGTTTCTTCTTAAAGCGTATGGAAACTCTCAAGTCCATGTGTGCTACATTGACTACCAGTCACGAGCTCCTGAAAAGAAGAATCACATCTGAGATGAAGCTGGACCCCTCTGAGACATAAAATACACAGGCTACGTCCATAATTGATTGATTGGGCCTCAGATATTCCGACGCCTGAATGGCAAAGGCGATGCATCCTCCTAACGCTAATGGTGACAGAGAAACCAGTTTCTCCTGCTTCTTGCAGGCGCTGACTGAATTGCTGCATTCTTGCTTTTTGTGCCTTTATTTGAATGCATGAAGCCGAGTGGGCTATGATGTGGGTATTCTTTGATGCGCCAAGTCTAAACTGAAGATTGCTGAGGTCTCCCTCCCCTGCCCCCCCGTAATCATGAAGGGAAAAAGCACTGCTTTGTTCTGGAGTTGGAAGAGCTTGCTGTCTTTGCCGAACGGAGCCCCCTGGGCAGGACAGTGCTGGTCAGCAGGAGCTGCCCATCAAGGTGAATCCAGAGTGTGATAACACGATAACGCGCCGGGGCCTGCTTTGGGGGCTCTTAATTAATAAACCTACCCGGAGATTTACATTAGCACATTAACAAGAATGCTTGCTTATGGATTACTAGATCACTTTATAACTTCATGATTGAATTCAAACTGCCAAACTGAATTTCTTCTCCCTAAGAGTGTAATCAAAACCATTCAAGGAACTCTTGCCTGAGAAGTTGTAGATATAAACAGCAATTGCTTATTTCAGTAAACATACTTGTTCACTGCCAAACTAATCACGTTATTGCAGATGGAATCCCTGTATGCAGCTTTTCTTCACTCTCGCAGTTAATTGACAGCAAGATGAATCATATCTATATCAATTCCTAGTGCGCTAATCACTTTGCTTCTATTGCCGTGCTAATCTCTCTGTTCTTGCTACACCAGTGGCTATCTGCTTGCGACTCTGGCCTGTGTTGTACCGTAAGCCATTTGTTGTGAACAGTGTGTTTAAAAACAAAAAATACGGTCAAACCCGAACGATGCTAGTGCTTCTAGAACTCCGAATTTTGTCATTCTTGTGTTCTCTTGCATTCCTGAAGTTTGAAAACAGTCGGTTCTTCTGCGGAAGAAGGCGTGTCTGGAAACCCAGTGCAGAGCCAATCTTGAGATGGGGATTTTCACTTTTTTAAACCTTAGGGAAGTTGAACATATGTGGCTGAATTTGGTCAACCAAAACACAGGCAAGACTAAGCCAGGGTCGTTTTGATCGTCCCAATTTCCTTCTTGCCACCGTTGTCTCCAAGTGGCAGGGTGATATTTCGGGAGGTGAGGAAATTGGCATCGGCTGTCTGTCTGTACGCTCTCCAATGATCCAGCAGTGCTAATGCAACAGCTTACCGAGGAAAAAACAGAGGCGGTGGAGGAAGCCAGACTTGCCACACAACCCAGAAAGCTGTAGCGTTGTTGCAGTTTTCAGGTATCCAAGGGGAAAAGCCTTTCATGCGCTGCTTCCCCCTCCCTTTTCGGGTGGGGAAGCTGTGCAGAGCCGCTGCTGGTGGTGTTCGGAGGGGTCACAGCAAACCTGTGGGGAAAACATTTCCCTCTCCCTGGAAAACATGTTCTGGAACTGGACCAATGTACCATACTTTAGGGATATCAAAGTTTCTACCATACTTTGGGGGATATGAAAGTTTTCAGCACTGCTAGAGACGAGTAGGCTGGGGAGAGAGCGAGGCAAGAGTAGGTGGGAATGTACAGAACTCATTGGTCAGCAGAATAACGTGGAAGCTGGATTTCTTTGAAGTGCCAAAACTTTGTACCTCATCTGGTGATCTTTGCCGGCTGCCATGTGTTGGTGTGTAAGCACACGAGGGCGCGGGGAGGCTGTAACTGGGAGGCTCATCGAGATCGACCCATCTGCTTCACTTTGACTCAACCCCTCCGCTGTCTGCGTGGGTCTCTTAACTCCCGGGGCTGGCAGAACCTGTGTCTGTCTGGGGGTTGTGGTGGGTTTAAACAAGCTTCTAATTTGGAGACCTTTCATTACTGTGTGTTTATAGCTGGTGACTAAGCCTGGGCCACAGTCAGTCGAGTGCTTAATGCGGCTGCTCATGCACCTGGAGGTGAGCCCCTGCCTAAGCACCTCGCTGGGCCGGGGTCTGGGGCTGGCCGGGCTGGAGGTGACCCCAGCGGAAACAGCAAGCACCGTGCCTGGGAAAAATCAGTGCCAGCGCTATAGCTCGAGTCACGATTTGTCAAATTTTGGTGGGTTTAAATCTTAGTTTTGCCAAATTTTGGTGGGTTTAAATCTTAGTTTTGCCAAATTTTGGTGGGTTTAAATCTTAGTTTTGCCAAATTTTGGTGGGTTTAAATCTTAGTTTTGCCAAATTTTGGTGGGTTTAAATCTCAGTTTTCACTTTATTTCTGGGAAAATACCAGACCTTAAGATAAAGTGAAGTGCTCTTTCTCTAGTCCAGCTTCCCTCACTGGTTGAATTCGAACGCACGTGCAATGAAAGCGGTTGCTGCTGTCCCAAGTAATTTGCATGAGCTACTTGCATTATAGTCGGTATAATCCACGATTACAGGATGGACTTGATCATTAATTATCTTTTGAATATGCACTTCCTTTAGATGTGGCTACTAGTTATTAGAATTTGTTTTCGTTTTTATAGCAGTGATGGGAAAATTGAGGAATAATGTATTTCACTCATCATACTGCTGATGAATGAGCAAATAGTTTTGAACAAAAATATTTAGGATGTATGCAGCATGTAATCCGAGTTCAGGCTTCTCGTGCGTGGCAGGATTGGCTGTTAATTTGCAGTGGAGGTGTTGCAAGAATCGCTTTTACCGTTGGCCCGCGAGGTCTGCTCGCAGAGCGCTATGACAACCAGCGAATCGCCCGCTGAAGAGGAGCTGCGCCTTGGCTAGCGAGCCACGGGCACCCGCTCAGCTGCGCCTGGGAGCAGGCGGTGGCAAGCGGCGGAGCTACCTTTTGTCAGTCGAGCTGTCCTCCTATGTTCCTTCCCCGTCGCAAGCGCCGGGGGAAGCGGCTGCGGTTCCTAAAACCTGGAGGTAGCTCGTATTAGCGGAGAGCTTTTCATAACCACCGTGCTCTAGGAGCGTCTGTCTGGGGAACTGGGCGTGTGGGTTGAGCAGCCATAAAACACCGAGGCAGGGCGCACGGTGCTTGCGATGGTGTGTTTGCAGCCTGAGACGGGGCTTAGGAGGTCCTTCTGTGGCAGCTGTAGTTCATGGTCAACAGTGCAATGAGCAGTAAAGCTATAGAAATAACTGAACGACTTGCCTGGTTCGGTTTGTTCAAGGAGTGCTTGGAAATAAAAACTTAAATGAGAGAGCTTCCTTGCACGTTGCAAGCAGTGGATGGAAAGAGATTAGGCGAATCGTTCTAGAGGAGGGTAAGAAAGTCGTATTTTGGGTTTTGTCACTGGAATTTGTATTAGTTCACTCTTCCCTGTCTAGGAGATCTGGACACAAGCTTTTTTACATCAGTTAAGTCTGCCAGTTGGACTAAAGACTGGTTTATGCTCACACCTTAGACTATAGGATTTAAACAGGTTTTTCTTATGTTGAAAGTGTTTATGATTTTTGGGAAACTCTGAAGACGTTAGTTGTTAATTTCCCTTTTGTTTATTTTGATCCACTCTGAATCAGCCAAGTAGTTCCTCTGCCCTGGTCTCCTTATCTGCATAGTGTAGGCCTCTATTTGTTCCCACACACATATTTCAAATCAGTAGGGGTTAAAACAGTTCCTTTGGAAGTGCTAGGTACCAATAAAAGCAGTCCTCTCAATCAAACAACATTCAGAACACCAAAATCTGGTGACTTCTGAAAGACCTGGCTCAAGTGATGTCCTCAAGGTTGTGTTGGGGGTCTGCTGCCAAGCTAGGACGTTCTGGCTCGGTGGCCAGTACCTCAGCCACCCTTCCTATATTGTAAATGCAGGTGCCTTGTCTGCCAGGTGCACTTACGTACAGGTGGTTACTCTGTTGTGGAAAAGATGGGTCCTTTGGGTCTTAAAAAATAATGGCGAGAGAAATTCACGGGTTAGTTTGGGGCAGAATGAGGGACAAAGCAGAAGAGTATTCCTAGAAATAATTAATATAGGAAGTAGCATGCGAGTACGTCACTGTATTGAAGTAGGCAAGATGAAGTAAATGTGTGCTAACCCTTTATAGTTTTAGTACTATTTGTTGCTCCATAAAGTTTCAATACAATATTTCAATACAAGTGACTGGGAATATTTGAGTTTACCTTTATGGTTATGGAAAACACCATGCTTGGGTTGTGTGTGTATACGTGTGCACATATGTGTGTGTATACACAATAAATACAGATCCTCATGTGTTGTTTTTAATCTTTGTAGGGTCCCTTTGTGCATGTTCAAGCTGCAGAAGCTGTGACTGTTCCAATAAAGAACCATTTCCCCACAAGAGAACAACAAATCTTGGCGCTGCAAACCACAGGTGAATTTGATGTCCTTGTTATAGGCGGAGGAGCAACAGGCTGTGGCTGTGCTTTAGATGCAGTCACTAGAGGTAAGGCTTGAAAATGTAATTGCATTCTTATTCTTGGATTACATGGTTTATAATAAATTTACCAGATTAATTTTTCAAAAGTACTTGAAGATGGAAAAGGTGTACTCTGAATGCCTGGTTATAAAACTTCCTTCTGTTCTCAGAAGCTAAAATGAACTTGAAGAAAAAACGTCGCTGCGTTTTGTTGTTTCAGCAGAGTCATCGTTGTCTAGGTGCTTGTATGCAGTTGTCTGACAAACCTTTTTGCTGGGTGCTCTTAGATGGACTTCTCATTCTCCGTTGCACCTTAGTTAGTGGGTTTACCTGTAGTCACATTTCACTTGTTTGGGCAGGAGAATATCTGCAGCAAAGACAAAAACAAGGCTTGCACGGCACTCCTCGTAACTATTTTGAAAGGGCCGAGCACGAATTCTAGATGAGGCGCATTGGCTGTCCAGCTCCTATTTCTTATAACACGAGATATCTACAACTCCTGCTAATTCCTTCTAGCTGCTCAGTGTACTGCAGGTTTGGAGATGTCTCTGTGGATTTGCAATGAAAGGCACTAGCGCCATTGAGTCTGAAGGTCCATGCAGTAGATCTGTGCTCCCATTTGTCCTCTTCCGGGTGTTTAGCTGCGTAACTGGTTTAAGAAGCTACTAGAAGCAGCAGAATTGATGTTAAGTTTATGCATAGCCTTAGCTTAAGGGAAAGCTCAGGGTAAAATGAGGCTAATGCCTTCTACCCAACTTTTGCAGGAGGATTAGAACATGTATGGTGACAGACAGTTGTTGCCCAGTAGATGTGCAGATGTTGCCCAATAGCTCATGCGGCCGGTCAGACACGTGAAAAGCTCTGCTCAGGGGGTGAAAAAGCAGGATGCTAATGCCCGCTCTGTCTGCATCACCCACCTCACACAGTAACTTTGAAATTGGCCAGCAGGTTCACTCCAATTTGACAGCTCTCAAAGAGAAGAAGTCATTTTATGAGCCTACTGAAAATAGATCTTCAGATACAGAGATGAGAACGCATGGGTACTGTTTCTGCAGGAGAAGCTGAAGCATCAACTCCTGTTCTATTAAAATGCTGTATTCCCCCAGAATACCATATTTTTATCCAAAAAGCTATGTAAAAGATTTGTGAGAAAAGCTTGTCTTGGAATATGTTTCCTCAGTTGTTTTCAGTACAATCAGCCCATGGGGGAGAGAACCAATCTGCCTTAGTTTCTATGTTCGTAGACCTTGTTTCAGGTTTTGGAACTAAAATGGAAAAAACTAAATGGTGTAAAACATAGCAGATAGCCATAAAATTCTTCAGGTTCCTTAACCCATAGATATACCTCAGAAATAAGAGGCAAAACCTGACTCCAGGAGCGTTTTGTAGTTTTGTTTGGTAAATACTTGTCCGGGTGGTGTGATAATTTTGAAACAGATAAAGCAGTAAGGTCTGCACCACTGGTAGATACACACAAACTCAAATCTGGTTATTAATATTTTTTTCATGTATTGTTAAAGATAACTTGGGATCTTTTCACTTCTGCCTCTGCTATGTTGTGGTAGAAAATGCAGTTGTAAAGCACACAGAAATGATTATAGGTAATCTGTGTTTATCCCTTTACTAGATCCTCTGATTATATCAGTAGATTTCTGAAGTGTGAAATATTCCTAGGCATTTGGTTAATGAATTGTGTATTGTTGCTGTTCATTGATGGAACTTGCTCTTTTATTATGCTTGCTTCACTTAACAACAAATTTTGCTTTTCATGTGTTTGATATATCTTCACCATATTATTTCTGATTGTATCCATTAATCTCCAGTCACATTTGACAAAAATAAATTACTCTGATCTTTGGAAGTTACCAATAATAATTAGATTTTTTTAAGGACTTAAAAGTTTTGGGAGACCAACAGATGTTAAAATATATGTTCACCAGCCGATAACATGAAGCACCCCTCAAAGAGGGTGAAGGAAAGACCCAAGGGATAACTTGGGATGCAGATGATGCTCCCCTCCTCAGCTACGCACCGTCATGCTGTTGCTCTTGGGTTTGGTAGCAATGTCACTGAATTTAATTCACTTTTTGCCTTGCCTGCCAAACTTCAAAATCCTGCCAGTGATGGAGGGGGTCTGTTGTGCTAACTTCTGTAACACAGATCGTCCTTCCACGTATGTTTTATAAGTGAAAGATTGCCATGTGCTTGTCCTGTGGTGCTTATCTTGGTTGGGTTCACTTGTGCTGGATGTTGGAAGTCAGTGGTGGCTGTCTTGTAGGTCTGTACCAAAGGATGTGGCCAGGCCGTTGCCTGTCTCTTAGCATAAAAAGGCATCTGTTAATCATCTGTTCCCTGCAACTTTTGCTTTCACCTAACTTCCATCACATAATGCCGACCCAGACCACAAAGGTGCTGGCACTTCCCTCGTACAAGGGTGTAGTGTAGGCAGCATTGGGGTATATGGTTTCATAGCGACTTCCATACGAAGCGGTGTGCCTTCACCCGTGGAAGGCCTTTTCCTGGCCTTCAGGGTAACTGGCAACACTACTTGTGCAACAAACGTGCCGACCTCCTTCCAAGTGTTTGTTGGGATGAGCTTTACAACGCTCATCGTAGAGCACGTCGTGTTCCGGGTCTGCGTGACCGTCTGTGAGCCGTGTGGTTGTCCCTTCCTTGAGCTAGTCAGACTGTCAGGGCTGGCCGGCGTCAGGGAACATATATGAGCCATTTTGAGTAAATGTCTTTTGGAAATACTTAGTAGTATCTTGTAGTGACTGTTTTGTGCGCGTGCCCTTTGCGTATGTAATGCGTCGAAGGAGGGTGTCTCTGTGCTGTATGAACACTGTAGTGTCTGCGTTGGCAGCTCTAGGTGAACAAACTTGTTCCCTTTGCTACGCTTCCTAGGTAAGCTACTATACTTTGTATTAAGCCTCAGTTATGAAACAATTTAATGTATATGGCAGAATTAGATATGTGTGTACATCGTGTTCGGCAGTGAGCCTCCCTGAGCAGTGGGCATGCCCATGGCTGGCTCTCCTCTGGTTTTGGACACCTCTTAAGTAGGCTGTAAGTAACCAGACAAAGATGCTAGTGGTTTGCCTCTCTGATATCCTGCTTAAATTGTTCGTGTGATAGGTTTAGAGCTCTCTGCTGCAAAGAGTTAAAAGTATTCATGAAAATATTCTGTTCCTGCCGTGAATACGAACTATAATTTGCTTGAGGGAGCATGGCCCCTATAATGTACTGTAATGCCTTTCTATTGTGAAATATCCAGGTTTTAATGTGCTTCTGTTTAAGTTCTGTTTTGACTTTTCCCTTAGGAAGGAGGCTAAAATTTTTCATTACAATATAGACAGTGCACTACACTTTGAATACAAATTTATCCATGTACAGAGTAATTTTTCTTGTGATTGTCTCTACCCTAGAGAAGTGTCTTTAATGAATTACATACAAATTGTGTAATTTAAGAAGTTAATTTGGTTTTCTGGTAACACAGGACTAAAAACAGCCCTTCTAGAAAGAGATGATTTCTCATCAGGGACCAGCAGCAGGAGTACTAAATTGATCCATGGTGGAGTGAGATATCTTCAGAAGGCCATCATGAAGTTGGATTTTGAGCAGGTAATTGTTTATGCTGGTTGTTAAGCAAAAATTGCTAGTAGACACTTCCCCTAGCCCAATTATATCCAAGGCTCCTTCTTATTTTTTCAATACTTGACTGTTGAGTTCCTCAGCCACTGTACGTAGAAAGTGTCTTCTCCAGCTGAGCTTTCCAGACTAGGGAAATCAGTGCTGCTGCCTTTTGCTAAATTCTCTTGCGGGCAATCTAATTGCCATGCCTTGTAGACCATGTATCTTTTGGGGAGGGAAGGCAGAGACCGGGCTGACTTTGGAATAAAAAGAGCTTCCTACCTGTCATGATCAGAATCTGGGGGAGTGAGTGATTGTCCTGTTTAGTTCAGAGTGGGGAAAGAAAATGTGGCAAATGGATGATTATATATAAAGATAAATGAGTGATTATGTATAAAACCTTTTATGTATTCTTGTTCTGGTGGAAGCCTGATGTTCTTGTTTTGGGAAATTGATTTGTCTTCCCATTGAAACCTCTCTAACTTAAAGTGTGGTTTAGTGGTTAGAATACTGCTACAGAGATGGTGATTTCTCAGGGAAAAAAATATGTAAAGCATGCAGTTACCCAGTCATAGAAATCAACTTCCTTTTTTGCCAAAGAACGACTTCATATTGACTCATATTGGTTGATTTGGAGAACACTTCTGCATTTGCAACTCGGAGTTAGTGTGGGATTTAATTGTGGGACTCGGCACAGAAGCTGTGCCGTGGGATGAGTTCTAACCCTCCTGAAGTGCCTCCTGCCTGCAGTTCGGAGTAACATGGCTTATTGCGCTTTACATTCAAACAAAAAATTATTCAACTGACCTGCCAAGATACCAAAATGGAACTAGTGAAACTTAATTTCTTGGGAAACATTTTCCTTAACTTCTTAACTTCTGATTTATTTTTTTTTTTCAGCAAACCCCTGTGTGTTTTTGAAAGAACAGTAAAAATGATGTGAGCTATTTGCATTGATAAACAGTTTCTTATTAAATGTTGCACGTGGAGACAAAACTGAGTAATGTGGGATTCACATGTACACTTCTATTTTTCAGTACAAGATGGTGAAAGAAGCGCTTGAGGAGCGTGCAAATCTGCTTGAAATTGCTCCTCACCTATCAGCTCCTCTGCCGATAATGCTGCCTGTTTACAAGTAAGCTCTGCTATAATATCTCTCCTTTACCATTGCTTTTGACAAGCAAGCTATTTCCCTGGAGAAGTTTCCAGGTGCCTCTTTGCAAGCAGGTCTTTAAACCTGTCACAAGCTTTGTCCTCCAGGAGGTGAGATGTTGCCGTATTGTAGAAGCATGAAATTCTCTTATGGCACCAACAGCTATCGCCGCTGTCTGGGAGCACATCTCGGACTTCAGCTTTTCAGATCATTTCTACCACCCCTGTGGGGGAGAGAAGGGGAGTCTGCAGCTGGAATGAACTCTCGTTCCCAGGATGTTACTTGCTATTCTTTCCAGTGCATCCTTGTCTTCGACACATGCTGTCATAGTGTTCTTAGCAACGTGCTCTTTAGTCCTTACCACCACCGGTGTTCGGTGCAGGAGTTGGGTGCGTCTGCCTTCCGCAGCACATGACAGTTTGGTATTGAGAGAACAGTTTGCTTCTCGTATGAGAAAAGAGACTCCAAGTGATTTGGGTGAGGTTTTTAGATCTGTAAGAGCAGTTCCTGTAACAGGCTACTTAGAGCGGTGAGGTTTTGCTGCGTTATCTTAATTTATGGCTTTATTCCTGCCTTTAGTAGAAGGGGCTTGTGACAGCTGGAGCTCATCTACGCCAGGGTCAGCTGTGTTTATTTGATCCGGTTTGTGCAGGAGGCATTAGTCAAGATGTGCATTCGAGGAACCCTTTCAGCTTGCACGTACAGGCTGGTTCTTCCCTCAACCCATAGCTTTAGTATCTCACCTTACACTGAAGTACAAAAAGCCAATTTGTGATCCTAATTCTAGAAGAAATAAAGCCTTGAACCTGCTTGACTTAACTGCAGCGAGTAGATCAGTTGAAAGCAGCAGTGAACAACATGCAAGTTCTTGCATATTTACATTATGTTGTGATACCATGAATTTGTGTGATGGTACAAAGTAAAACTGGTATACAACACACTGTGCTATTTAACATGTTCTGTACTACAATAACACTGTGTGCATGCACTTTTAATGTCTTTTTTAAATTTCACTTCATGGGGAATTTTTTTTTCCTGCAGATGGTGGCAGTTGCCATACTACTGGTTTGGAATAAAACTATATGATCTTGTGGCTGGAAGTCAATGTCTGAAAAGTAGTTATGTCCTTAGCAAGTCAAGAGCCTTGGAGCTCTTCCCAATGCTACGCAAAGACGAGCTTGTTGGAGCTATTGTCTACTATGACGGTATGTCGCCTTCCTGTGCTTTCGTTGTTACGTTGTGCTGTGGTGTGGGTGGGAACGCAAGTGTGGAACTGTAGATCACGTACATTGACTTTCTAAAGGGAAGAACAACAACTTGAAGGATTCAGCTGGCATCCTAAGCATTAAATTGGTAGATAAATTATGGTTTTTTTCACAACAGTAACCTACTGGATGTGAGAGATGATATAATTAGTTTTATTGGTGAAAACATTCTGGTGTTCTGGTGAGTCCCTACAACTTCCCAGCTGTGCCTGATTTTGCTATACACATCTTGGACTGAACACTTCTTCTGAGGTATCGTGAGTCAAGAAAGTGCGATCAGTCCAGTAATGCTCAGTGGTTTGCTGTAGCACTTTCACTGTGCAAAATAACTTCAGACCTATCTGGGTGAGCTGGCTGCTGGTTGTGGTTCTTGCGCTGGGTTGGATGAGACCTGGATCAGTTAATTCTCGTATTGCCAGTAAAATTGGTTGCTCTGCAAAGACAGCATTTATTGTAATTATAATCAAATACGAGAGATTGCTATAAGACATGAATGGTTTCTGTTAAAACCCCTTTAAATAAAGGGTTATAAATTCATGAGAGGGAAAAATGCCTCCAGCCCGAGTTATTTAATCTACTGCATCAGCTAGTTTTAGGTATGTTTGTGCATAACACTTACACAAAGTCAGTGTCTGAGTGGGAGAATGTGAAGATGCTTTCTGCAAATCTTCCGATGTTCATTCAAAATTGAACGATGATTTAATAGAACTCATTGTAGCTGTCCAGAAATAACAATTCGAAACTGTTCGTGTGTATTCACGTTTGGAAGGAGTGCCAGTCTTGTTTGTAGTGTAAGAATGGGTAAGCCTCTTTGCCTTGTTCCTGACATAAGTCTGGTAGAAGTCCCTGGCATGGCTCTACAGCCACGGGTGCCACAGGGGATCTTCTAAGCAAAGAATTTCTTAGCTCGCTCTCTGTCCCTTCACATGCACAAGGCAATCTGAGACAAAATCGGTGAAGGTTTAGTTGGTTTACTTGACAAATGACTACCCAGAAACTTTGCTTGTCCCAATATTAGCGTTTGTGTTGATGTACATGTGTCTTGAGCTTTATCCGAACTGCTGTATCTCAGTACTTCGCAATGTCATGCAGCTTACCTCCCCAAACTGTCAGAACTTCGGTATTTAAAAAATACTGAACTTGCACAAATCCAAAATGCTAGAATGTTCATTGCTGAGGTTTGAATACCAGGATACTTACTTTGTTGAATATTTTTGTTTTGCATCAGAATTCTACGCTGTTCCAGGGTGTGGTTTTAGTTAGATTGGTACTCCCCCTTCCCCAGTCGTTTTCTACTTCCCCTCCAAGACAGAAAGTTTTGGTAAAACTTTCTTGGTGATGGGGTCAGCCAGGTAATATCAAAATGCCACATGTGCTCAGGGTAGGGCAAAAAGCCATAGATTCCTTGCAGGCCTGGAGGAGCCCTCCAAGGAATAAATAGCTTAGGTACTGATTTACTTCAGTCATGGTACGGTTCTAGTTGGTTTTTACCTGAAGATGTAGTTTCTGACCTTTTGGCAGCCAGAAAGGTCTTCACACAAAATTGATTATAAAGGTAGCTCTTTTCCCTTTTTAGAACTGCATTTACACTATTCATCAGCTTATCAATAGGGGCTTTTGTACTGGGAAGAAGTAGGAGGGACTCTCAAAGCACACTGGACTCGGGTAGTATTTATGAGGCTTCTGGCAAAAGCGTGTGTTGATAATTGCAAGTTGTCTCATACAGAGCCCAGCAGAATGAAAAAAAAAAATTATCTATTTGTGCAGGAATATATATGTGTAGGTTCTTATTTGGGAGCGGGGTGAGATTCAAGTAAAAATTAAGTCCATCATTTATCTCTGATGGAGACTGCATCTTCTCTGTCTTCTTTTTAAGGTCTAGAGGAAATAAGAGGTTATTTAGAAGCAAAATTTGTTGTGGGATTATGTGGTATCTTTTGTATACTGTAACAAGAGCTGCTGTAAATAGCATACATAGAAGTAACTCGGATTTATTTTTCCATTATCATAAGCTATCCCTTAGACTGTTTTACGGGATCCCAGGAGCATGCAAGAAGAACGAAGTGGTTCTCTTAACTGTAATTACACTTCTCATAAGAGCACTATAGCTTGAAATCTATTTATAATCTATTGAAGGTTTTCTCAGATTAAATAGATAGTTTGGATGTATCACAGCTATTTACTGCTCCAGCATTCTAAAGATACACTTTTACAAGATAGGCTTAAAATTAGTCTTCAAGTTTCTTGGACGAATAATCATTTTAAACAGTGTTGCAGTAAGTGAAAGTTCAGCGCCGAGATACCATGCAGTCCATCTGTGCAGAACTACAGCACGGAACTCTGTGAGTGACTGAGAGGTGTCGCTGACGGCGGCGGCGCCTTCCCAGGCCCTGGGAAACAAACCCGCGCTCTGCATGTTGGAAACAAAGAGTGTTGAATAGGAAAAAAGGAGAAGCACTGAATGCTGACGAGCAGTTTGGTGGACAGAGAGGACTGTGCCATCTCTCTGTGCATACGAGTTTCATAAAACCAGGTCGCTGGCAGAGACTCTTAACAGCTCTTCAGAGGAGCAGCTGCGATGCTAGCAGGACTCTCGGAGTCATTTGGTGAGAGGGATCAAAAAAGGACCTGAACTTTTGCTGCCAGTGAAACTACTTGCTCATGCTGATGTATCTGGCCGCCTTTTGCTTTACTTACAAGACCACAGCTTAGTTACCCACATTTTTATGCAGAATTTAAAGAAATGGTGTCTTGCAGTGAAAAAAAATTTAAAACCTCCCAAAGCTTCACCAAACCTTAATTTCCGAGAAGAATAAAGTGGTTCTGAAGGACTAAAGTTTGTGAGTTCGTAATATACATTTGGGTGCTTTGAGCCTGCACCTAATCCAGAATAAAAACTTTCCAACTCCGATGTTAAATCAGGTCTTAGCATGCCACATCCCAGAATTAAGTTTTGTGTGTAGCGACTCCGCTGTAGGTCAGCCTCTGGCCCATGGTGTAGGTGGGCTCCTGCTGTGTTGTAACACGTCGTGACCAATTAACCTGTGTCCTGCCCACAGTAAACTTGTTTTAAGTCACAATGTTTCGGTGAACATGCTTTAGATCTTGTAAATTATTGTACTTGGATTTTAATGGTATACTTTCCTGCCCTAAATCCGGAGCAAGGGAGGACAAAAGGGAAAGGGAATTGAACTTAAAGTAGAGAAGGGGGTGATAAGCTTGAATTAAATTCCTTTTAGTTGTTTCAGAAGGATTAGTCATAAAATAGAGCATTAAATAATGGCAAAAGTATATGTAGACATTGTATGTATGTCTTAAAGTAGGTCATATCTTTATCTTCTCTGTCCATCCCTTCTCTGTCTTCCCTAAATAACGAATAAATAAATTTGCCTTTTAAGAATGGCATGTCTCTCCTGATTCTGTACGTGCAGTTAAATGTAGTTTTATCTTGTTTTCTGGCTGTCCTCTACCCCTGTCTCTGTCGTACTTTCTTCGTATCCGTAGCTGCCAATAGCCCCTACCAGCCGCAGCTCGCTGTTTGGCGTGTTCACCACCACCACCACCAAAGGGAAGAATTAAAAACATCCGTTCTGTAGGTTACTTCTTTATTTGATCAAACCACCTCTCCAGTTATGACTTACTGGTGGCAATGTTCTTTTGCAAGGAAAGATGAGGAATGCTCTTGGGTTTGGTTTGTTACTGTTGATCAAACTAGTGGCGTGCCAAATAATCCATTATTCATGGCTGTGCTGTGTTCTGAAATGGTGCTGTGCTCCTCTTAATTACATTTTTTTAAAATTGTTTATACAGGCAAAAAAAAAAAAAAAATGGTACATTATAAATGTTGGAAGTACCAGCAACAGCAAATCACAGACTTGACCAGAGGCTATTCTTGCTCTGTCTCAGCATCGGGAAACTAAAGCATATGTTGGATGTTAGCCTGGGTGTACACAACGTGTCCTATTTATTCAAGGTCTTCTTTGAAGCCACAACTTACAAGTTTGTTTCTTAGGGGTACATGTCAGACTTCATTTAGCATTTGTTGGTATTAGGATACTCCTGAATAGCAAAAAGGCAACATTTTGGGGGAAGAACGTGGCTGCTATCTGAGCAGTGATCTGTCAGTTCCACTTATGTAGCTCAAGGAAAACTGGAGGAGAGGCACTGTGGAGGAGCTGGGCTGAGATCTCAAGATCATAGGCAGAATTATTTTAAAGCACTTTAAATGGAAGAATTAATCTCCATTTAAATTATACATAGTTCATTATGTTAAGAACCAGGAAAAACATTAAAGCAGAGATCCAACTGGCCAGAGTATTTCAATTTAAAGTGTTTAGAAATTCTAAGTGGCACAGTTCTTTTTAAGATGTATTATTTTTCTGTCTCTAGGTGCTTGCAGACTTTTTGTTAACATTTTGCCTTGCAAGATGAGCCTTTAGGTGTGTAAGGAAAATTTGCGTTCTGGAATCGGTCATGAATTTAAGATTTTTAGGGCTTTGTTGTCGCTGCTCTTTGAATTTACTGCTATTTTCTGAAAGCAGGAATTAACATATTACTGCTTCTGTGCCTGTTTTGCCACATCAAGGTATTTGATCGTTTAATGTCTTGTTCTACAAATCTCCAGTATACTTGCTGCCATGTAAGTAATTGTTCTTTATTTTTTTGCGTTCTCAGTATTTTTGGATATGTTAGCTCCTGAAATATTTAATATGGAGGTTATTTAAAGGTAGAAAAAGAAGCTTTGGCAGAGGATTTAGCTTTCCTTGTTTACAGCAAACCCCATGAGAAATCCTTCCCAGGCACACATGCACGCGCACAGACACACACACACACACAAAAATCAATGCAAAAGAGTAGGGCATTCATTAAGCTGTCAAAAATGGAATAAATGCTTTTTTTTTATTTAGGTTCTTGTAGCTATTTTTCCTAGTATTTGAGTGTGTCCTGAATTATGAAACGTTATAGCTTTATGATTCATATTTGACAAATGAATATTTTGAGAATGTTGAGCTGTAATAGGGGTATTACCCTGTTACGGATGCAGACAACTGTATGACTTTTTTTGTTTTTTCCTTCCCTGGATATAAAAACTCTGTGACAGTTTGTCACTAAAAAGACTTTCTATAGGTGAAATACACGGCTAACCATATTTCTTGGTATTTCAAAATTGAAGCTGGGTGAATGAAAGAAGCCTTGCAGGCACACTAACGGTAGGCATAACCTGGAAAATACTGCGCGTATTCTCCATATCCTGCTGCTTTCAAATCCATTTTGCCCCGTGTTCTGTATAATAGAGTTGTATGCGAAATCCTGAAGAGAACCGGCAGCCTGCTACGAGAGGGCTTGTAAAGGTAATACTGGCTGCCTCTAGTGGAATGCCTGCAAAATGAAATGCCAGTCTCCAGCTGCACCTACAGAAGCGACCGGGTTTTTCCCTTGCTGGCGTTAGTATGAGCAGTGGTGGGGATCTGCTCTAGAGGGTGCTTCCCAATTCCCTGACCAAACCCGTTGGGGCTCTGCTTGCTTGTGGCGCTTCTCGAGCGGCGCCGTGCTGTATCCGTCAGAGCCTTTATGCCGTTTTCAAAAGGGATAAAATCAATAGCCCAAAATGGCTTGCATCTTTAACCCAGTTTTGCCGCTGTCAAAGGGTGCAGCCGCACGAGTGTCCCTGCAGGAGCGGCCGTGTGCTCCGAACAAAAGGGACCCTGCATCCGGCGCGCTCTTCTTCCTTTTGCTGGAGGCATCCTTCCCAAAAGCATGCAGATGATAACTGCATCTCCTGCTGTACCTGTAACAATTTAATTGTGTAAGTCAGCCCAGTCAAGCATCCCCAGCTCATGACTGGGAGACATGAAATTCATTGTCATTATTGTCCCTGTCATTTTGGATCATTATATCCTGCTGCAGAATTTTCCTCACTCCAGTGCTTTCTTACCTCCAGGAAGCAGGGATTATGGCTGAGGTTGGGGTGGGGGCAGGACTGTGAACTACATTTACCTCAGGGGAGCCACAGATTAAATTGGCTTTGCTCTCTGACTTGCTGGATTCGTCTGTTTGTACGCTGTGGGTTTAAGGTTGGAAATGATGAATATTCTAGTGAATTCTGTGCCTCTCTCTCTTTTTTTTTTTTTCTTTTTTTTTCTTAATGCTCGTATAAGCAAAGGATGGTTTTTGTGTCCCTTAAGAAGTGAACGGGGAATAATTCTTCAGATCATGTTACCTAAAAGATTTAAGGTTATTCCTGAGCAAAACGACATTATTTGCACGTTGTGCCACAAACATCTGAGCGTTCCCCAGTGTGTCGTGGCTTTTAGGGGAAAGACTCCATCGAAGCATGTAACTCTGCTGTAATTTAGATGTGTGCATTTTATGTGAACTTAATAGCCGGTCATTAGTTGATATGTACACCGTTCCGTATTGTAGGTGTGATTATATGTAAGTTGAAGGAAAACGCATTATGGGATGCCTGTACATCTTGCTGCTCCTTCCCCTGCTCCGGTGGCTGTCTCCTGCCATTCGGCATATGGGGCCGGAGCAGCCCCAGTCCTTGGGAAGGGCTGGGGGTGTGTGCACGTTGCTCATCTTCCTCACCGCGCTCCTCCTCTCCCATCCGCAGAGTTCACCTCGCCCAGCACCTCCTGGCCTGTTTGTGTCTCCATCCAGGCTCTGGGTTTCTCTGGGTTCAGGGGAGAATTATCAGGTAAAATGGTGCTGCTTGACTTCCCCATGGGATGGGCTGCATCCCTCCATCAGCAGCGGCCCTGGCTGCCTGCCACCGCGCCGTGCCTGTC